GGTGGTCCTATGATAACTATGAAAATGTAATCCTTTCAGGTAGAGTGTCCGTAGCCGAAGATACACAGCTCTCAGATCCTGGGTTCAATTCATGTCTTGGCTGTCCAAGACCAGTTTCCTCCCACCTTTCTGTCCTGTCCAGAGAGGTGTAGTACTGCCCTGTGCCCTGTGCTTTCAGGCTAGACTCTGGGTTACTACTGCCTTTACTAGGAACATGAGGCTTTCTGATGGGGTGGATGAATGAAAAAAATATTTTTTTTTCTATAATTAATAATGGATTGTAGTCAAAAGATACAGATAATATATCAACCAAATATGTGTTTTAATTACTGAAATATTTATTCGTGTTGTTTAAAGAAGGTACTGTTGCCTCTTTCATATGTATGTGTTCTATTATAGACTGCACGTGTTGATTTTTAGTTTTATAGATCAATTATTTTCACCCATCAATATTTATAGTTATGGAACATATAATAACTCTTACATATAAAGTATTAAATCAGGACCATCTGTTCCTTTTAACTGACTAACCTAACCATTTTCGTGTTGTGAATAAATATGTACAAATGTACGTGACATTCCCCACTGAGAGCAAATTTGCCTGTAACAAAATCTCACATTTGCACAACATGCTGCCTTCTGAGCACATTCGGAAAGATTAATAAAATTTTCAATTCTTGTAGAACACCAAGGTTATTTGAAGGTTAATCTCATATCTGTTGGAATGCTGAAGTTTGGAAAGAACACTTGCCATATCTCAAGTATATATCATTCCTCAGAGCATCCCAGGAAACCAAAATCTGGAGATTTTCTTTTATAAGCACAAGGGACAGTATTGCACCCTATCTATCCACTCTAGAATAAACTCTATTCCGCAATAAACCAGTGATCGTTTCAAAATGTGGGCACCACTTGAATATAGCTTGTCTATAATTGTTTTTACAATACTTTTTGTAGAAAACATAGCTTTTTGGAAGCTTTTGTACATTTCTAAAGTTTTTTTATCAGGTCATTTATGAAAACACCCTTTTTTCTAAAATGACAATATGCTAACATTATTTTAATAACATATGGGACCCTGACGAGACACAGTCATTGTTTATCCTAATTTGCTTCTCAACAAAATCTTCTCTGCTTGTTAGTTTTGTAATATAAGCGCATACAGATCCCAGTCTCAGCCATTTTGCTATCTGCAGGAAATGTTTGCATGAGCCTTTCTTGTCTATTATGTGTCTATTGGCAGCTCATCAGTAAATGGAGCAATCTGTAATCTTTTAATCTTTCTATTCCACTTCCTGCATTGAAAATGAATTGAATGAATCAGCACTAAGGATGAGAGAAGGTTCTGTTACTCAGCTTTGCGAGATCTAGACAACCTCCCCTGCGCAGTACTGTTCATTTCCTTCCCTGTATTTCTTTATCCCACCTCCTGAGCTGAGAGGATGAGTACATCATCTTAAGATTCCTTTCCCTCCAATTTCCGTAAGCCTCTGTAGCTGCATCTTCTGTGTTATTTCTCTGTGGAGCACCGGACCAGCAGTTTGATTTTTTCTACTTTTTCCTGCTTACAGTTCCTAGTTCACCTGTGTCTCCCAGCCCTGGGTGACAAAAAGTATTGCCATTAGAGGACTTGTCAGCTCAACATTTCTCTGGCAAACAAAAAATACCACAGCTGAGCTTTCCATGGAAACCTGCAAAAAATAGTCCTTTTTATGATGTGAGAGGCAGTGACGCTTGTTTTGCTGCAGGGCTTAGCTAATCCTTCATCCCTAATGATAAACTAGAGCCCCTTTAACTTATCAAATGCCCAGGATATTGTGGTACACTTAATGAAGCTTAGAGACTGGAAGCCTTGATCACATCCTATGGTGTAATGCAGGCAGATTATTCCTGTAGTCACCGATGTGACAGTGTAATCAGGAACAAAACACTGTGTATCTCTGCTCATTTCAGCTAGAGGTTCTTTAAGGAGCAAGAGGCGATATTGTAGGGGCTGTGAGGCATGAGTGATTATACGTCTGGCTAAATTAATATTCACTGTGCTGAAACCAGCACAATCGCATTAGGCCTGGATTAGACTCACCAAATGAACCTGTCTCCTGTGCTCAGCTCTCTTAATTTCAAAAATCGAAATGTACAAGGGCATCCGGTTTGGGCTGTTTTCATTCACGAAAGAGTCAGGGGTTTGGAGTGGAGCAAACAACCACAGCATAACACTTGTGGGGGGAACTGGGAATTGATTTGCATCCATATAGAAAAGGAACCCGTTCTCTGTTATGTAACCCATTGCTTTTGTGCTGTTGTTAGTGCTGGACCCCTGGGGACATTTGCCTTCTGTTCCAATCACGGTGTAGCAGCTGCCCACAACAGGAGAAAGCCCCTTGACACAGCAGCACACAAGTAAAATAAATGGACACCACTGCCATTTTGGTTTATCTTACATAATGCTAGAAAGGCAGCTGCAAAAATAAGCATAACACTGACCATCTTATTTAGCAGCTTTATGTAATTATAGTTCACACTGAAAAAGAAACACACTTTTGTTCCCTTATTTAATTTCACAGTAGCCAATTGGCTTGTAAAAAAGACTGTAAAAATGGGAAAGTGTTAAAAAGGAAAAGCCTGGTAATCTGTCAATGACATCTGTATTAGGATAATCAGTACCTTGCAAAATGATGAATAGGTGGTAGTACGTATGTTACATTAAATAGCTTTTTAGTAAAATTGCTAAACTTATACCATATTCACGGTGACAAAGCCATAATGTGTTTTCAATTCCAAAATTAACCTGGTTAAATCTTGGTACTTAGTGTAGCATCTTGTTGGAGAATGCGCTGTTGTGTTCTTGATACAATGACATTTCATATACAGAGTCTGTGTCTTTGTGGGAAGTCATCTCATATTGCTAGAGCTACAGAGTTAAATTTTTATTGTGTTTCAATAGCAGAACAGATAAGTAAAAATGAAACATTCCTGCCTGCACATGATTGCTTTTTGTAGACAATGAACCCTAATGAACCCCGTCTACAGTAGATTACAGTGTAGAAGGAGGCTAGACCTTCAATTTCTGTTGCTTATACATTCTAGTTACTGGAGAACAAGGAATCCATTTTGCTCCTTGGTATTGAGATGTAGCCTGAAAGGAAATGTTAACTGCAAAAGCTATAAATCTATTGCATTCTTAATTGATTATTGCAGTATTACTGTAATAAAACTGATGATTATATCATTACTGCACTTTAACAATAGACTTTCAGTTTATTATAATTTAACTAAATGTTTTAGAAAGCTCTGCTGACTCTCAGTTCACCACAATTAAAACTGTTGTTCTTTCTTCAACTCACTTTGCCCGTTAATAGGGCGGTGAACTGAACATATGCTCTGTTTTCACAGAATAGATCTCATGACAAGAACTCACGACATCCTATCGGCTGGAAATCAGAGGGGGAATTAGAAATGTATTGTCCCCAGTTTTACTGGGTTGAAAAGCATGAGGGTTGAAAAGTCCACTGGAACTGGTCTTGCAGAAACTGCCACAACCCTGACCTACCCAGCTCTCACCTAGCTAAGAGCTGGTCCTGTGACCAGTCTGGCTGCCAGGACATTTGTAAAAAAAGGGCCATATAAATAAACAGCTTTATATAAATACCCACCCCTAGACCCTGATCTTTTAATAACACTGTTTTTGTATTTATTTCTGGCAGTCTAAATATACAGTGGTAGTAATAAATCAACATGACAGAGGGCTACACAGAGGCCATATAGGAAGACAGGGACATGGTTCTCTAGGTCCCTCTGTGCTCCTCCACTGTCCTTTTACAGAGATTGAATCTTTTCTTCATGCCAAATCTTTTCTGCTGCACATATGTTCCTTTTTACGGAGGTATGTTTTCCAGCACAGGTAGCTTTGGTTTATCTTCTTTGCAGGCAGATGGCGGAGCAAGTTTTGGTTTTGGAAAGCAATAGAACTCCCGTACCGTTGATCATAGGTCCCTTTAGAGTGAGCGTGCTGACATACTGTATATTTGTCGCCTTGCTGATGGCTGCACTGTGAGCGTATACACTTACCTCTCACATTGTGTAGGAGGTTGTTGTCTGTGTCCACCAGGCCTGAGGCCTGCTTGATAGAGAGAGCCTCTAGTCCTGCCAAGACCTCACGTTTTTCCAAGCCTGAATTACTCAGCTATCTGTCTTTGCCTGTGAGTGGGGGAGCTCGGGGAGGGCTGGGTGGCCCAGTCCACAAGGGAGGGAGCCCAGCTTTGCTGTCCCAGCGTGTGCTGCGTGAGCTGAGGTCCTGGTGGGAGCTGGATTTAAGGTTGCCGTCTTTTCAATTAGGCAAAAATGAATTACCTTTTCAGCCCTCGAGTGGCTCTGCAAGCACCAGCCAAGGGGGCCCAGCAGTATAATGCTGCTGATATAATAGCTCCACTGTTTCCCTGGCAGTTCCCAGGAAACGACACAACGTGCGCCATTGTGTGTGGTGTTTTTGCTGCCCATCCACGTTGCCCAGTTTTAGCCAGGCGAACAGAAGGCCCTAACTGTGCAGTAAGGCACATAACGGGGCTTGGGGAACCGGTAACAGGGGGGAGTGAAGGAAACGCGGCAGGGTTTTCAGATGTACCATCGCTGCTTCACCTCCCTGGCTGTTTGATGTATAATAATAATTTTAAAAACAGCTACACATTTAAAAGGAGAAGTTGGAGGGAACCTGAGGACTGTGCCAGGAAAAGGTTTAAAGCACTGAGAATGCTGGCTTTATGTTAAGTCCTTCCTAATTAAAAGAGGAAAACAAAACTGAAGCACAAAGAGAGGCCAGCAATGGCCAGAACTAGTTCTGAGCTGGTCAGAGCTGGTTCTGCAGCTTTTCATCTCGCAGGGTCCTGCTGGTTCAGAGTCCGCTTGTTTATGGAGGAACTCAATCAAATGACCCTTTTGCTGCAATTGGAATGGTCAATCAAGACAGTCCTTTTATAAATTAGCTGGGACACCTTCAGGAAACCTGGAAGTGCGTGTCATTAGCCAGCAGATTTTTTGGACTGAGAAGGAAGAATAGAGGTTGGGATGCAATGGTGTGTCCAATTCATGAGAATGGAAACCGTGGAAAGCGATTCCTAAAGCTTTAATATCCAAATGTCGACACCACTTGTGTTTTTTCCAAAAGAAGAAAAAAATCAGTTGTCAGATCGATTAGAAAAGAGCAGCTTGTTGATGCAAGAGACAGACCCTGTGTATTCCTCTGCCGCCTGTTCCTGGGTTTGATCTAGGGTGGACATCTCCGCTGAAGTAAAAGCTGAGGGAACTGGTATTTTTAAGTTATCTAATGTCTCACTTGCTATTGGAGTCTTTGTCTATTTGTGTAAACAGATTTAAATGGTTTGGGGCAGTAGAACACTTTTTTACCTTGCATGTTTTTTTTACCATGATACAGTACTAGTCCTTCTTTTATTGTAATTGTAAAGTGACTTAAAGCTAGAATATTTATCATCTGTGTCACCAGTGTACTGAAGGGTGTCATAACTGAACACAATGAAACAAAACGGGTAAACTCACACATTTACAGTATCCATACTGTATATACAGTAATGGCTATCCCATTTCTTAAATGTACTTGACAGTATTATTCATTCTGATTTTCTTTTCTGAAAGTTTAATCAAATTGGTTTGATTCAGTTCAGTACTTAAAAGAACTACCATGTGCTGTATTGTAAAACTATTTACATATTAACACTGCCACATTTCTTTGGTAGCACTGTTCATTATTTTTATGTGTGCTTTTTTGTGTTTTGGAGTTTGATTTTTAATTATTAAAAAATATAAAGGGTGAACTTTAAACTCATTCATTGCAGGGACTTTATTGCTTTGTCATCGATTGATACTACTAATGTAATTTTGACTCCATCCAAAACATAGCCCTGTCTTATTTGAACTTTGCTGTCTGTTTCTTATACAACGTTTAAGAACAATGAGACTATCTTGTTAGGTTTGCTAAACTTCCACATGTGATAATGGTGCAGCTTACCTGTCTTGCCTTAACTTGGATATTTTTCTCTCAGCTATTTTTCAAACTCACCATGTTACCATAGATTAGGTTGGACTTCTTAAGATTATGTGTTGCATAGATGGTGTGTTTTTCTTTCATGTTCTATTTACCACAATGTATCCAGACCATGGTCAGTCCTGGGATGAGGACTATAGGTGTCTAACCTGTAAACCTGTAGGTGGCACTAATCCTTTAGGACCACAATTTCAAAACCAATTCTTCATTATTGTGACAAGGACACATTGTGCCATATGATAAACCTAGGTCATGAGTGTTAGCTATTAAATATTGCATGGCACTGTACATAAGAGAAAGGGTGCCAACTGTGTTGTGTCCTTGCTAAATTTCCACTTGGGAACAAGACAGCCTTACTAGTTGGTCTTTGTTGTCATAGTAAAGTTCATCCTTCATTCGGTCTTGGAGATGGACTTTCTCTACTTATTTGCTGTATCAATGGAAGTGTGTCCTGTGTGTGAAGTGCTTGGACAGCCTTTGGCACGAATAGCAACAGGAAATGCTTGGCATTATTCATTCTTACAATAAAAGTAACTGTATGAAATGGGAAATGGAAATAACTGAGAACTTACGCAAATACATCAGCATGAGAACAGCTGAGGAACGTAACAATTGCCATTGACAGACTGAAGAAACACCTTCTGTAAATACTGCTGCGCAGCACACATTATATTGCATTGTTCAGGGTGTGGTTGTAGATTAACAGGATGGTCAAAGGAAACCAAACACTCACTGGCAACCAGCTTGTGGTATAGAGTATACCAGTTCGTGAGCAGGGTGGCACTGTTATTAATTATTGTTTCTTTGTTACAGTCCCTAGGAAAAAGTAAGAACACCCACTTCTTGGTGTTGGAAGGAACCTGGGCTTTAGTGGGTTGGAAGTACAAGCAGGAGCCATGGAGACTGCTGAGTCCGAGATGAGCATCATACCCAATGGAAAGCACTGCGAGGACATGACCATGCCAGTCAAAATGCTGCCGGAGGACGACCAGTAAGCAGCGTTCACGATCGTACCATTTGTCAGTCCCTTAAAGAAGCTAGTAGCTTTTTTGGGGTGTGCTTTTTAATTCTGAAAGCAATTTTCTCGTGTTAAGAGTGATAGTAAATGTATCAGGACTGCTTCGCTTCAGAAATCTAGATTCTGGTGTAGTTAATAAATTAGTCAAGACTTCAGATGATACCAAAATAGGGGGGTCAAGTCCACATAACAGAAGCAGTTTAAGACATTTAAAAAGACTGAGGCAAAATTCAAGACTGAGAAAACACACGATAGATTTAATGTAATGTGAACAAATGCGTACTTTTTTACGCAAATAGCAAAAAATGAACAAGGAATGCAAGCCTGAAGAAACTACTATGAAAGGGGTTGATATATCACTCTGCTTCTCATGACAATTTGGAGATTCAATAAATAGCCAAGCAAGAATGTTAGGATATATAATTTAGTGATTAAATTAAATCAAGAGAAATGTTATGTTTTACTGTTGTAAGTTTTACAGCATGCTAATAACAGTTCATTTAGATCATGTTAGAAAAAAGTGCTGCTCTGGAATCAGTCCAGAGAAAAGCCAACAGATACATTTCCTGGCCTAAAAGAATGTCTAGCACTCAGAGGCTAAAATAACTCAACCTTTTTAGTCTTGAACACAGAAGGCTAACAGAGGGAAGCTGATTCAATTATACAAAAATCCTCAAAGGCACTGACAAAGTCAAATGAGTGGGCTTCTACAGATTAAAAAATGCAACACAAACCACAGGAAATAAGTGAAAAACTGAGGAGGAAATGCTTTTAAAACCACTTTGCATGAGGACAGAGGGCACTAAGGACTGTGGGAGTCTGTAAGAAGCTACCAAGTCATGATATTTTAAGAAATACGTAGCTAGATGAGTTCTTTGCATCAATTTATTGGCAAACAAAGACATCAGATTGTTTTTTTTTTGTTATTTATAACCTTTCTTATGTTCCTAAAGTGTTAATGAGTGACTTTCACCCTGACACTAAATGTTTTAAATAAGGTTGCTTTCCTTTCAGTGTAGGGAATTGTAAATCACTTTTTTAAATCTAAATCTAAACTAATCTAAATCTAAAGTTTAAGTGAGGCAGGAATTGAAAGTGAAGGATTTTGAAAGCAGCACTTGGTTCTCAGCATTAAGACTGATTTGAAACAGTTCACTAGCCTTTTAAAACTAAGCTTTTGTTCCTTAGCTTTCAGTACTAATAGATGTTGACTTAAAGATGGTTTCTTATGTATGGAAGCTCTAGCATTCTGTCCCTTCAGTAAAAAAATATTTTCTTCAGCATTAATTTAAACTGCTTAATTCAAGGACCCAGTCTATGTGACTAACTTTTTGTGTAAAAGATGTAAATATTTCTGAGGCAGAAATGTTCTGTTTTAAAAATTGGAAATAAAGTAAATCAAAGATGATTGTCTTTTTGTTTTAGAGCATAGAAGCAAAATACTACTTTATGTTAAATAATGTTTAGGGAGAGCTAGAAACTTGGAATTTCTTTTAGACTGGGATGTGACTGGGCTTTTTCAGTACATTGTCTGTCTCATGATAAGACATATGACTGAAATGTGAAGCTTTGCATGCAAGGAATTAAGGAAAACAATGACAGCCTGGTTTCATGTAAACAGCCCAAGGAGAGGTCAGTTATGTTCTGAAAGGTGAATGATTTGTAATAGCCCATGTGAAAAGATGAAAAGGACATTTGGTAAATGTATTTTTGTAAACTGAGAACAAAGACTTATATAATTTTCATTAAAAGCATTTAAAATGTTTTAAAATCACACTCTAGTAGGTGGAGAGAAATCTAAGAATGTTCTTATTTCCTCCTTTGCATGACAGGATACTTTTTCTCTCAATTTTCTTTGAGAGGAATAACTTTGAGAGCTGTGGTCAAATGTTTAACAATATATGCTGAATACTAAGAGCAAACAATCTAAACAAAACGTTTTTTTATTTTACTGGAGAACAATATAGAAGAATTTGAATACATAATATCCAATCCATAACAATTCTGAAACACCCGGTTAAAAGTAGTGCTGGCTATTTTTCTTGCAGGTCCTTTTTTTTTTACTGTAGTTTGCACTTTCAGTCCCCGCAGGTTTGAAGATGCAGAAGGGAATTTAGCAGAGAGTGAGGAGTTCCTCCCCAGCACCGAGGGCAAAAAGCCAACCCGCTTCACCGATGTGAGTTACTTGAAATGGACAACGTCACTGTATACTGTGTATGCAAACATTTCAGATTAAACACCCAGGAATCGGTATTGTCATCAGGTTATTTAGAAGCGTGCAGTATAAGCCCAATGAATGCAAACAAACAGATGTAATTTAAGTTTTGCAACACCAAACGCTAGATTTATGATAAGTTATAATGGGTTACTATGTAACTAGATAATGCTAGGACAATGCCCTACAATGTATATTGCATTGGTACTATCATGTCAACGATGATTGAATCAGTTAGATAAATATTGAATACAAAAGCCTTTATTCGGTTACCCTGTTCATGACATGATTCTTTTTGTGTCTTTGATATGGTTTGTTTCTGTTCACCCTGTGCTCAATTAAATATTAAGAGAATATGTTGCGCTCAGTAGCCAGTATATGAATTTTTTTGTTGCAACTTAACAACCAAACTGGGCTCCCACAGACAAGAAAGAGGTAGGTTCTGAAACTAACCCACCTAAAAGTCTGCAAAGTCATTGCCTTCATTTTTTTAAAGGTCTGCTTTGTGGTTAGAATATTGAAATAATATTGAATTATATTGAAATCCTAATTAGTATACAGAATATTTACCAAGCGCATACTATGAGCTGTACATATTGGAACATTGTACGAAAAGGAAAAATAGAAAACCAAGTTTAATTAAGACAGGAACAATTAGCGTTTCAGTTTATCCAAAAGTTCAGTCTGTTTTTGGTTTAGTTCAGCTCTCTTAACCAGTAAAGGTTTTGCTAAGGTTGTGTAAAGTATCTGTAAGTCCCGGTTTTGAGGTTAAATTCAATCAAATAAAAATGATCCTATTCATTTTCAGTTTGATGGAAAGACCTCCTTTGGCATGTCTGTCTTCAACCTGGGGAATGCCATCATGGGCAGTGGGATCCTGGGGCTGGCATACGCTATGGCCAACACTGGCATTGTCCTGTTCCTGTAAGTAATGTACTGTATGAATAGTGTGGTAAAGTGAATCAAGCCCTGTCAGTTTTGCCTTTTTGACCCAACTCAAACTAGTGGCCCCTCTCTGCCAAGCAACATGGAGTCTGGCTGTTTAGTTCCCTGATCCTCTGAAACTCTTTCGCTACCTGTGCAAAGAATTGCAAAGCTTTTCTTGTATTCTCCTTTCTTTCCCTGTAGTGTAACAGTGGGGTACACAGTACAAAGTCTGCATTCTGTGCCTTTCTGTTTAAATATTCACGGTATATTATACCACATATATTTTACTATAGTCATTCATGATATATTTAATTAGAACAACATAATTATCTATTAATAATGAAAAGCAGCATAATAATAAGAAAAAAGCAATCTTTAAAAGTATTAAGAAGTTCTAATCAATTTCAATAAGACTAATTCCAATGGTTCTCCTAAAAGGCACTCCGTCCAAGTGTGTATGACAAACACTTAAAACTATTATTTATATTACATTTCCAAATCTGCATGAACCCACTTGCACAGACTCCTGAGATGATCCCTGAACTACTATTTGCTATTACTGGGCAGAATCAGTGCGTTCTTTAACGCAGTGCTCAGATTAGTGAAATAATGCTGTTATGTAATGAAAACTCTGGGTTTAGCTTCAACTGCTAAAGATTTGGCACTGTCCCTTCTTTGTTTCTTTTAAACTTCAGGGACAGACAGAGAGAAAATCTTCACTCATTTGTCTGCATATTTTCTTCCCTAGAGTTGTCTATCGACAAGAGTCCAATCTCAGTAGAAACTAGCACATTCTGACATTTCCCTCCCCTGAAGGATCCCCAACCCCACTCCTTGTGTGTGTTCTGCTTTAGTTTGCAAAAGGTTAAATAATGGAAAGGAAATATTTTTTAGAGTTTCAGGGCTTTGGATGCAGGCTTCCTCTCTTTATCACACGAGGGGCGCACAGATGGGGGAGCTGAAATCACTACGACCTTCGGCGTAAGGGCAGAGCTGAGCTCCAAGGAATGTGAGGGCTGAAGCTGTGCTCTTGGTGGGGTATGGGGAATGGAGAGGGGAAGGGGCCAGAGCAGAGTAAGTAGCGCCATCCTCTGTAAACCAGCAAGAAATGTCTTGAGTCAAGGTTATATCAGACTAGCCACAGAAATGTCTCTTGAAGCCACTGTTATTACCGTTGCTGGTTTTCACTACAATCTTTTAACGCAAACCTTTGTAAGTGCCCAAAATGCGACAGAAAATAGTTCCCCTTTGTTGCAAGCAGCGGTCTGGCCTTTCCTTTTATGGCCTCGTGAAGTATCTATAGCACTTGTCCATTGCTGAAGGGAAACCTACTACAGTGGATCAAGAACTGCTCCATTGAGAGAGATCACTTTATTTCCCATATATAATTTCTTGCATTAGGAATTTGACTTTTTCACATACCCCAACTTACCCTCCATGAGACACACAGACAGAGAAGCTTGGGGTCAGAGTGCAGGGTCAGCCATTTACTGTATACGGCACACCTGGAGTGGTTGGGGTTAAGGGCCTTGCTCAGGGGTCCAACGGAGTAGGATTCCTGTGCCAGCCGGGTGATACAAACCGGCAACCTTCCAGCCACAGGCGCAGATCCTTAGCCACAGCTCCCCGAATATTGCTTTCTGATTCCTCACAGTTTAGAGGATATCTCATTGCAGTGGTTTCCACCTGACTGGGAATCAAATCTCTCGCTGAATGCCAATTCTTACCAAGGAATACTTTACACTGTATTTACTCTGCTTTTAGATGGAACTTTAAGATCCATTTCGATTTCAAAAAGCAACAAAATATACATAAGAGACACAATTTACTTTGGGGTGGCTTGGTAAGGGGGAGAAAAGCAGTGAACTCCTGGTAGGAAGATAACAAAAAGATTTGTATAAAAAGGATCTTTAATAATATGAGCGTGGATTGGAGATGCAGCAAAAGATCCGATTAAATTTAATGACCTTTTATAATAGGAGACTCACTCATTCTCCTGACTTGAGCCTGTAGAATAGCAGTTGTTTCTGACTATGAGATAAGCCTTACACATGCACCCTTGGAGTCTTATGTAGATGCAATAACTGTAACAATTTAAAGGAAATCTGCAGCCTCAATGGGAGATTCTGATATATTAAAGATTTTTTGCTCTATAGTGTGCTTTAAATTCTCAATTATATTGCAAAAGCCCAGCAGTGAGGAGTCAGTGCTTTAGCAAAAACCTTTGGATTTTCATATTGTAGTGTTATACTGATGGAAAAATGGATTGTATGAAGGCTAAATCCTGTTCTATGAAAAAATGCAGATGTCGTAAGGTTAAGTAATGCTATTTTTATTAGAAAATTTAGATTGTCAAGGGATTTGTTTTCCAAGACCTGGTGGTATTGGAATGGCTCTCCAAGGAACAATTATAGTATGAGTGTGTAAAGGCCAGCTTTCTTCCCTTAGTTCCAAACACTTGTGGAAATAGACCTTTTCTGGTATAGACAACCTAATGTAATGACATTTCTACAGATAAAAGTTTTTATCTTACTGTATTTCATGCATGACATTGATCTTAGTCATCAGAAGCACAACAGCCTAGGTTGTGACACAGTAATAGCCAAAATGAGAACTTCTACTTGTAAACTTTTGATCCCTGTTTATATCCTGAAAAAATAAAATCCTCTTCAGTTTGTACAGAGTCTCCAACCTTGTTCCTGGAGAGCCCCACTCAAGCAGATTTTATACTTAGTTTTTAAATCACCAGTATATAAAGGCCTAGAACAACTTAATTATGATCAGTTGAATAGGTGGTGTGGTCAATTAAGTAATTTATAAATCATTTATATTGTAAGTATACTGTAAGCATATCTGGACTGGGGCTCCGCAGAACCAGACCTGTAGACCTTCATCATACTGACATACAATATGTCTTGGAGTGCAGAGCCATGCCTTACGAAACAGCTAGATTGTGTGATAGCATTCCTTGTGCTTAACTTTGGTGTGCCTGTGGATTCACAGGCCTCCTGTGCAAAGACACTGTAGGAAATGTACCCATTTGTGAGGGTGCCACTTGTGCTGGTTTGCTAAACAGAGGTTATTTCTCCTTACTTTATAAAAGGTGTGTCTGTAAAGAAAAGACACGTTTCCTAAATTATAGAATGCAAAATGAATATTCATCTTCCCATTATAATTGCAACCTTTGATTTGTGGAGCATGATCATTACAACTTTTATTGTTAAATAACCATATCTATATAGAGCTCATTATGTCAATACTATTTTAAATAGTATTTACCCTTTTTTCTGGAGTTATTAAAAAGAAATAAAGTTAAAACTTAATTTCGTTTTTTGTTTACAGTCGTATAATTTTTATTTGGATCAGGTTTGGTTCTGTTTGATGTGTTAGGTTTTAAATCATGCACAGATACAGAATCAGTTTCCACAGCTTTGGGTTGTCTCTTTCCTACACTTTTGGACAGTGGTAGAAGCAGAGGTGAGCAGCACTGCTGTTGTCTTTGCTGAGCTGTCTTATGATCTGCTAAAGAGGGATGAGAACAGCAAGCAGGGCATCTGTTTTTTTTTTCTCTGGTGGTGTGTCTTTGTAAATCCCAGATGATGTGTCCTACAGGGGCAGAGGACCTACATACAGTATGTATGCACCACCTCTCAGCAGTTTTCTAGAAACAAAAAAACTGCAAATTTGGGAGACCAAGCAAACAAACGGGCAAAACAATACACCTCTGGATTTTGTTTTTTATCTGTAGCTTGGGGGCTTGGCAGGAGAACTGTACACCCGAGGCCAAGATTTTTTGTAAATTGAGAGGAATTCCAAATATCTACCTCTGGGCCCACGTCTGGGTCTGAAAACAAGATGCTTTAGTTGACAAATCTGAAACAAATGGTGTCCCTTGTCCGACTTGTGAGGCGACATAACTCAGGGCATGGGAACTGGACAGAGTGACCGACTGAACTTCAGGATCACTGGGATCCGTGTGTTCGAGACCTGCTGCTCTCCAAGACACCTCTTGGCGCAGGAAATATGAAAGGCTGCTCCTTGACTTTTAGAGAAACAAAGGACTGGTTGTGGGAAGTTGCTGTGCCTCTCATACCTCAGAGACTGAAGCCTCTGAGTGTAGGAGCCTGACCTTTAGAAAGTGGGGCAGGTTGAGAAGAAAGGTTTGATAGTCAATCCTAGAGATGCAGGCACAGGAGTCCAAACACTGTGAAGGTACAGTAGGGCAACCTCTTTATAACTGAGATAATGGGGTACACATGAGGGTAACTGGTTACAGGTTGCAGGTGGGAAACCAAATGCCCTGGCTAAAGTAACTGTACATTTTTTTGTACAATTTTCAATAGGTTTTTAGCATGTTTTCTGACTTGACCTATAATATGTTTTCTTTTCTACATACTGTACCATATTCATCTATATGTGCTCTAACCTATAGTGATATTATATCAGTTCTATCTAAATTTAAATAGTTGCTATAGCAACTAATAATAATAATAATAATAATAATAATAATAATAATAATTGCTTAAACTTATATAGCCAATTTCTGAACACTCCACTCAAAGTGCAGGTAATGGGGTCTCCTCTCCACCACCACCAATGTGTAGGCCCCACTTGGATGATGCAACGGCAGCCATAGTGCGCCAGAACGCTCACCACACATCAGCTATCAGTGGGGAGGAGAGTGATGAAGCCAATTCATAGATGCGGATTATTAGGAGGCCGTGATTGGTAAGGGCCAATGGGAAATTCGGCCAGGACGCTGGGGTTACACCCCTACTCTTTTCGAGAAACGCCCTGGGACTTTTAATGACCAAAGAGAGTCAGGACCTCGTTTTTATGCCTCATCCGAGGGATGGCGCCTTTTTACAGTATAGTGTTTCCGTCACTTTACTGTGGCATTAGGACCCACATGGACAGCAGGCTGAGTGGCCCCTGCTGGGCCCACTAACACCTCTTCCAGCAGCAACCATAGCTTCCCAGGAGGTCTCCCATCCAGGGACTGACAAGGCTTAACCCTGCTTAGCTTCAGTGGGGTGCCAGTTGCGAGTTGCGGGGTGAAATTTACAGTATGTAAAACACTCACTATGGGTCAAAAGGCTTCCCCTGTTCTGTAACCGTTGTTTTATTTACCCTACAGAATAAAAAGTCTTCATGCTGAAACTTCTGTTTCTCCTGGACCACAGTCAGATCCCTGCATTGTATTGCAGAATAGTGACAGACTGAAATATATATTTTATGTGTTATGATATTTATTTATTTTTTAAATTAAAAATCTCCTCCCTGCGGCTGAACTTTGCCTCCACCAAATGTAAGTTGAATTTGAGGTGAAGTGTCTCCAGAGTCTCCAGGGAGCCTAGTGGTAGTTGCTGGGAGTAACCTAACAAAAATAGCTTGGATGACAGGGGCATTGCTTTAGCTAGCTAAAGCACACATTAGACTGTTCCCTTTAGTCCAGATTGTGGTTTTGGTGCAGATGTTGCAGACTTGAGAGGTAGCCTCTCGATTGAAACTGAAGCAGTAGTTTGAAATATGTATACTGTATCAAGTGCCATTCTATGAGGACATTTTGTTTGTTTTTTTGCTTTAATGTTTATTTTCTGCCTCTAATCACTTTTGTGGCTGCTGTTCTCATTTTAGAGTAGCAGCTGCTCTATTATTATCTTTCTATTAATATCCTTGTATTTATAAACATACCCATGGGGAAATGTAAAACAGTTAACATACACAGAATGTGAGCTGGCCAATGGTTTTGCTGGTTTTGTCACACATTGTTATCCTCATAGAAAACCCTTTGATGGCCTGTATGTGTGTGCTTCTTTCCCCAAAGTTAGTTATGAACAAAAAGGACAGGCTGATTTTTTTTCTTTCAAATATAATTTGTTTGTGGTGAGTCACATTATTCACCTCTGGCTTGTAACATACAGTAGCTCCTGAGTGAAACTATGCTAAAGGAAACTGCCGTTATAGACGGTATAATACACATTCATTGAAAAGCTTAAAATATTTTAAATCTCAGCAATTTAATTTAGCTATATCTCCAGGATTGCAGTTTCAGCGATAGTGAAAAGTGCTTTATAGTGATTTGGAAACATCAGTAGGAGTTGGTATTGTAAAATTGCCTGAATGCTCACCACAGTGGGTAGATATGAACCAGAATGAGGATATATGAGATTAACTCGAATAAGAAAACAGATAACAGATGTTGAACAATATTGATAACTTTTGAGAATGTTGAATTGGACATTTCATGTAAAGATCCCAATCGTTGTACTTCTCCTCGTATACAACAAATGTGACTTAATGTGTGAAAACTCCAAGAAAAGCCAAAGACTGACATAAAAAGTAATCAGCAAAGTCATTCTGTGCCACTGATTAATCCAATATAGTAACATGTTTGTGACTGTTAAATTATATTCAGTGTAAGATGCTGTGACATCACAGTAATTGCTAAAAACAATAAAATAATTAATTAACCCATAATTCTGCATAAAAATTATATCTTACATCTTATATGTTACATTTTACATCTTACCCTACCATTTAAAGTTGCTTCTTTAGTTTATTTTGCCGTGTATTTACTCCATCTTTCATTTTGTTTCTTTTTGTTACACCTAGTTCACTTAAAATGTTATAGCTGACCTCAGATTTGTGAAGAGGGAGAGTTTTTGGTGTTCAGGGATACAGACATTTCTCACTGTCATATTAACTGTAATGCTACCCATTGCAGGAAAAAAAAAACATAGAATGATGGTTGCGGCTAGTTTAAAAAATGTCCCTGTAAAGATCCGTCTCCACCAAACAATTAAAGATAAAAAAATGTTTGTTTTTCCTGCAGTTTTCTTCTCACGGGCGTGGCAGCTCTGTCCTCCTATTCCATTCATTTGCTGCTGAAGTCTTCAGGTGTTGTGGGTGAGTGAGCGTTGTAGAAGAATTAGATGTGTCCTACCCCTGGCACAGTAGGCTTGCTCTACTCTGGGCATAGTAGGTGTCCTCTATCACTGCTACAATACGTGTGCCCTACTCCTGGCACATTAAGCATGCTCTACTCCTGACACAGTAGGTGTGCTCTACCACTGCTACAGTAAGCATGCCTTACTCCTGGCGCAGTAGGCTTGCTCCACCCCTGGCACAGTAGACATTCCCAAATCCAGGCACACTAGACATGCCCTCCCTTTGGCACAGACGGTATGCCCTGCTCCTGGCACAGCAGATGTGCCCTGCCACTAGCAGAACATGTGTGCCCTACCCCTACCACAAGAGACATTCCCTAACCCTGCCACAGAGGGTCAAAAGTCTGAGGACAGCCTAAATGTTGCTCAGACAGATCCCTGAATAAAAACAACAGTGTGTTGTTCTTTTAGGAATATTAGATCTGTTGGTCTCTCATAACATACAGTACAAAGAGATAAATGCATTATTTATTATCTTTCAGTAAAAAAGTCACAGGACTTGTTTATTTGAACCTAACAGGCAGCTGTCTGAGTTTTGGAAATGGTTTGGAATTCAGACACGTTTGCTCTTCAGATGTTGAAGTGAGAGGACATTAACTGTCATATGTTCTCTTTTATATCCACTCTCAATAGGTACAGAGTAGACAGTCTGTCCCAGGAAACAAATAAGAGGCTTTTATGAAAGTACTTACTTATTAAAAATAGTATGCTTTGTGTGTGTAACTGCTCTGTAAAGATTTCCTTCACACACACTGTCTTTTTGTGACTGCAACTTTCAAGGACACAACCCATGCAGATGTTATCAACCACTCTTGTTGCTGTACATGGTTGATGATTGGGATATGTGTGTTTTTTCTCTTCCCACAGGGATACGGGCCTATGAGCAGCTTGGGTTCAAGGCCTTTGGCACACCAGGCAAGCTGGCAGCTGGGATTGCCATCACCTTACAGAACATTGGAGGTCAGGCCTCATTGAATCCAACTCGTCCGACACATTCATTTTGTTCCAATTCCTTTGATTGCAACACAACACTAGCACCATGGTGCATGTGTTCCTCTTTCATACTGAAGCTGTAAATCTAAGCGGTTGCTTTTTCTATCACATCACATCCTGTTCTTTCCTTTCTTTTAAGATTCTTTTTAAAATATAAAAAGACTGATATGTACAGCTTGGATTTTTGGTGATCCACAAACTTTTTTGTTAATTGTACATGTTGAGCATCTTTTCAAAAGTTGGAGAGATGTTTTTGTCTGTTGTTAGCGTATAACAGAGGCTGAGAATTAAGAGGTGTGGGGAGCAACCTGTTTTCTTTTGTCTTGGGAGTGAGCTGCGACAGCCCATTTGACAAACACCAGTCGACCCGTTTGGTTTGTCAGTGTAACCTTAAATAATGTCACACCCTGATAGTAGGACTGGTGAAAGTTTAAACTGAATTGGAACTGGCACCCTGGCAAAGACCTGATTGTTTGAAAACATTTTAGATGGGCTTTGTGACGTATATTATGGAGGCCAAATCGCAGGTACACATGATTGGATTTTGAAAAGGATTTATAAAACAAATGTTTAACAACAACTTTAAAGGAACACACCCAAACAACAGAAATTAATCCAAGGTGACGTTTAAATCTGAATTGTAAATAAAAATACATAAACATTGTTTGGAGAGCTCTTTTGGTATTTTTGTTGTGTGCACATGAGCAACGCTGATGGTCATGTACCGTTCTTTTCTGAAACCATTCAGAACACCCAACGGGCATCTCCCTTTGATAAATGAATAACAAACTAACTCCCAGAGAGGGGACATTTGTAAACAAAAAAGGATCCGACAGCTGGGGTGTGAATTTTATTTATGTTATATATCTGTGGTATCGCTTGGTTTTAGCTTTTGCACGATGCACCAAGATCACCTGTTATGTTAACCAACCTCTTTTTCCCCACACAGCTATGTCCAGTTACCTGTACATTGTCAAATATGAGTTCCCTCTTGTCATCCAGGCCTTTCTGAAATCCAGCACCTCATCTGAGTAAGTATGTCTGAAGGACTTACTGAGACCAATTCACACAGTATTTCACTGCAACGTGTCATCAGAGGCATCTGATGACCTCTGGCTGTGGAAAGTGCATTCCACAATAAGCATCATAGAACGCCCATGATTTATTTAAGCTGCTTCTTCAGTTTATAATATTAAACTCCTGTTGAATACCTCAAAACATTCTAAACCCAAAAGTATTGATATGCACTGCATAGCTCACAAGACATTGACAGCATTAAGTTTGATTCATGTTGCTTTTCCTGAGCCCATGGATGTTACTATCCCTGCTAATGAACTGTTATGGTGATGGCTGAATTTGCACCCAGTTCACAACAGTATAAATGTCCTTGCACTGGGAGGCTTGGTGATCATACCCAAGAGGCCAGGAGCTAAGGTGCTCATGTGGCACCATATCAGCCATTCTAACTCTGGTAACAGGGTCTGGTCTGGTAGTCTTCACAGCTGCATTCTCAGCTACTGGTTTTTAGAACACAGCTGTGTCCTTGGCTCCCATTAGGAAACAGATAAACTCTGCAGAGAAGGTGGGTGAGCATTCAGGCACCACTATTGGTCAGAGAGGGAGAGGATGTCTGACATTGTTGGCATGGTGGAGCCCCTGGTGTGCTGACAACCGTTCATAACAACAGCGTTGTCATGCGGAGTGTTTCCAAACTGACAGCAGCACTTAAACTGGGAGTTATGAAGTGGATGGTTACACTCGTGACTGCAGGTCAGTGTACAACGCGAGCCACAAGCAATGGGAAACTGTCCATCTTTTGCTTGTCCCAAATGCTTTGTCTGTTCTGTCTCAAATATATGTTTTTGGCTCCTGGCGTAAGAATGTCTTAAAGAACTTGGTTTCCAGTCGGGCGGTGGTGGGATGTGTGTGTATACATACAAGTGCTTTTCACATTGTGATCTCAATTCTAACCATCAAAAACAAAATAAAGCGCTTAGCAGGATTACAGAAATACTATTGAGTCTAGAGATAGTGATAACTGGCTAATGGTCACATATTTAGTTCTGTCTAATTGTCTTGATAATGTGCAAAGGTCTTGGAATGAGATAGATTTCCTTTTCAGGAATTGGTGTCTGTTAGTAGGAAAAAAGCAGTGTTTAAAATGGATTTCATGACCATTTGTCATTCCACAAAGGATATTTAAAAATGTATTTCTTTCTATGCCATAGAGAGCAAGTGGTATGATGAAGGTAGGCCATTCTGAAAGGCGGGTGGCACCTGAGTTTGGTGTCAGCATAAAGTGGGATCAAGGCATCTGGGAATGTTTCTGAGAGTCTGGGGATGTCCATAGATATTGAGGGAAAGGTAATTCACAGTCAAATTCAGCAACAGATTACTGGTAATGGAACTGCAAAACCATCAGGCTGATGGACTTCGGAATAGCAGTTCTGTTTCAAGTACAGAAAATTTGGAACCATTGTCACAGTACAAGATGTTTGTACTCTTTTACAGCAAGACACTCGAGTGGTGTGATGTCTACCTTACTCACATAGTGGAGCTTTTTTGGAGCTTCTCTTGGCTAATGAGCCATGAAGAGTCTACAGGATAGAGGATATGTACTTTACAGAAATGACCTGGTTATTGGCCTCTTCCTGGTTATCCTCCTGAAATGGACAGTTTTGTGGGTTCTAGAGGTGTGGAAACACAATTGCAAATGGCTGCACAGATCTCTTTTTTAGCATATTAATTAATTGTAATATACAGGGGTTTTAGTCATTTTACCTTGTAGTGTCTTATGTTGTACATATTGTGAATAATGGTAATGATTCTGAAATTTTGTATTTTAAATCTTGACTGGTATTGACCGTTTACCTAATCAATCCAGTCACGTTGCTTAGAGTGTTTTATGTGACTTCATTTAAAACCAAACAATTTTGCGCATTGTGTTTTGAATCATGTTTGAAGTACAGTAGCTACAACATAGAAGAGTTGCAAAGGAAGCTGGAGTGATGCATTTATGGTCATTTAAATTTCTGTAAATCCATATTTTCAGAGCATTTCCTGATTCTTGTTTTCAAAACACATTGCTTTTTCATATGAATTCATATGAAGACACACTACATGTGGAATACAGGCTACTTTGAGGAGTCTCTCGCTACTTTAAAAAAAGGCTGCTGTGTTGTTCTGGATAAAAAAAACAACCATTGACTGAGACTTTGTGAACTTAGTGGTCACAGAAGGCAGAGGGAGAGTAATTTCATATACAGGCCTCACTTTGACATAGAAGGGCTATGTTTATTGGATACAGTAGGGGCAGTCAGCCACGTGTATCTATATATATAGAGCTCTTTTTGTAGTCATCCCCTAATTTGTCTGTGTTTGGTTTCTTGTGTCAGTCAAAAGGGATTCTGAGGATAGCAAAGAGCATGTCATCAGAGGCAGCATCTTTGCCTTTCTTTACATTAAAGTTGTTTTATACCCTTGTTAACCCTCTTGGGTAACTCTGTTCCTCTGACCAAAATGATTAGACAGTAAGTCACCTATAACTGGATTTTTAGTATTTTGGGGATTTGGGATTTAGTATTAATTTTTAATATGACCCCAGATTACATGACCCTTCACTTTTTTTACAGAATATAATATAATTTCTTCCACAGCATTATTTATTTTCTAAAATAATAATATTAGTTTTCATTTCTTTGACCCTGTGGGTTTGTCAGGAAACTGAAATTAAATCTAGAAATAAAAACTCTGCAGACTCCAGTGTCCTGTCAGTCTCTCCTTGTTTTTAACTACTAATCCTTACAATGTGTTTGTTTTTATTTCAGTCTGTTTTTTTATTAGCAATTATAATGTCGTGTAGTTTACAATGTCTGTCAGCCTGCCTGACTGGTATGAGATACAAAGTTTTTTTTTTGCTGTTCCAGAAAATAAAAACGCAGATAGTTATTCAAAATGACAGCAAAAAATACATTTACAGAAAGGGGTTAGCAGCTTGTCTGTCTAGAGTTAGGCTTGACCATGGTGGAGGATATGGCATATTTCAGAAGCAAAAGGAATTTTCTGGGCAATTGCCAGGTGGCAGACAACACATTTGCTTGGTTTTTTTTTCAGGTCATGCGTTTTATGCTCGAAGGAAAATGAAAATGCATAGAGGCACCCCCTTCCCCCTCCCCCAGAAATCCCAAAAGTTGTGATGTGAGGGAGGTCCCCCCCAGAAAAGGAAAGGGTTGTCAGACAGTCTGAAGTCGCAACACTGGAGCGACGTCCTAGAAAAGGAAAGTATCTTGAAGACTGGAAGCTCTTTGTTAGGAGGTCCATGTTTGAATAGAGAGAGGTTAAACAACCATTTTAAAGCAGCCAGACTGAGTGCTGCCTCCTTGGCTTGTGCTGTAGCCCTCACAGAAAACTGGCTGCAAGTCTCTCTATAAATCTTTTCAGTGAGTGTAAGAATTAGATGGTGTAGATCTGCTCCAGACAGCCCTGGAGAGCTGGCCTGACGTGACCTGAGTCCAGAGCCTGTCTGCAGGCATTTTCTGCAAAACTGGATGCCTCTTTAAGATCAGACCACAATTGGGTTAAAAGGTCAACAGCAACAATGTCTTGAGTCGACTTTCAGTGGACTTTGTCTAAGGTGGGCTTAGAAGTGTCCCAAACTAGTGCAACAATGTCTGTTTAAACTTCCAGTGTTTCATCTGAGCCTACTTTAACTGTTGTCAGAGCACATAACACCATTAGTTTATGTTTAAAGTAATCTTTTATGACATTTACTTTTCCTATTAACTATGCTTTAGTAATAGTCGGGCTGATTAGGCTAAACATATGGTTCTCTTTGTCAAAATTTATCAATGGAATTTGTCAGTGGAAGATGTATAAAGACCAGCACCATTTTAAAAACTATAGTCAAAAGTCAAAGACATTTACTAATGAAGAAGACAGACATAGTAAGCATTTTTTTATAATGAAAATATTATTTTGATATTCTGGATTCCCTTTATCCATTTTGGAACTTTGAACTAGGACATGATTTTGTTTTTTAATCGTATTAAGATTGAGCTTTTTTTGCATTCTGTTATGTTTGCTCAGTGTGTCTACTCAGTCTGTTCTGCACACTGTGCTTAGTTGGAAGAGAAAGAGCTCTGGGAGATGTAGGATTTCTGAGGTCAGTGTTACCTCCCTTTTCCTGAGACACAGCAGTTAATGTGTTTGCTCATACTGAAGGAAAAACTATACTGTAAATACTAAAGTGCCAGATTGTTTGGTGACTCTGAGAACATATGTAAGACAAATGTTTTATGAGTCACACATTTAAAGGCCTATTTTAAGAACAAAATGTGAAGGTGTGGAAATAATTAAATTTCTATAGCGCTTTTCATCACAAAGTGCTTTACATAGGAGGAAACCCATTTCATCTTCAATATGCAACAGCCATTACATAGCAGACAACCCAATGCACTTCAAACTAGGTAGATAAATGAGGCATTGTTTCACCAATTCATGGTGGTCAGAATATTCAAACCCTGACGCTTAACCAGGATGCCAAGGTTAACACCCTTATTTGTGTAATCAGTGGAATCGTAATGACAAAGTAGTCAGGGTTAACATATAAACTGAAGGATGGCACCTCCTACAGCAGTGTCCCCAGTGAACATACTGGGAAATTGGCTTGGAAATTGTGGTTCAGTGGGAATTGTGCAACCTATTTGTCGACAAGCACCATTTACAGCATTGACCTGGTTTTGCTTAGAGGTCAAACCAGGGCTGACCAAACCATGATTTTCAGTTAATTTCTATCAATTTCCATCTCTCCATCCATTTTCTAACTGCTTTGTCCAAACAGAGTGTCACAGGGAGAGCTGGGGCCTATCCTGGCAAGTGATGGAAGCAAGGCAGGATACACCCTGGATGCAGGCCAGAACGACACTAACAAGGACATATTCAAGCTAGGGCTAATTTTCCCAGAAGCCAGTGATCTATGAGTTACAGTACTATGTCTTTGGATTGTGGGAGTAAACTGGAGCACCTGGAGGAAATTCACATGAACACAAAGAGAACATAGAAACTCCACACAGACAGCAATTCAGAATCTTTAAAAAATAACAAAAGAAACAATTGTGAATGATCTCATTTCATTTGTTATTTTGGAGGACTAACTGTAGCCTTGAGAAGCCTTTGTACTCTGGTTTAATGAGAAAAAACAACACCAAACCTACAGTATCTGTCTGAATGGTCCAGTGATACCCTGGTATTTAGGTAGTGAGAGACCAATGGACATCTAAGTCTACACCAGGCTGGTTCTATGTTTCCTCCATTTCTCAGTTCCTGGAACTGCAATTGATATCAATGATCAATCAATAAGATATCAATATTTATCGTGCTAAATGGACTGGTTAAAGATCTCAGTCAAGAGCCACTATTTTCTGCCTTATTAAATTTTGTATCTTGATAGCATCTGGGTCTTTCAGAACATTTTACATTTAGTCTGTGACAGACTTCTGCGCTATATTACAAAGAGCTAGATTAGGCAGCTTTTTTCTTCCTGTTTCTTTTAACAGTAGGAGAATAATACTAAGCAGCAAAATCTTTTCTGCTGCCATGATTTATAGTTTGGGGAATAACGCTGTTGTTCTCTGTTGTGCTCCCATGTCCATTTCTCTCAACTGGAAATACCTTTGAAAGAATGTCGACATTTAAACAAAGAGGTTTCATTAATTCCTCCAAAGGATTGGTAAACTGTCAAAAGGCAAATTTATAGGTCTGACTCGGAAAGTGTAAGTCTGCCAAACACACCATGTTGTGACCAGCGGTCAAGAAAGGCAGACAGAGTACCTTATTATTTGGTAGTGTGTCTGTTTGTCTGTTTGACTGAATTTCTAAGAAATGGGACTTTGATAAGAGTTTGGTGCATGCTGTTACCAAATGAGTATTAACTAGGAATAGCAACACCCAAGAATTAAGTGTATTAAAAATATTTTTTGTGTGTTTTAGTTGTAGTAAATTGACACATCCCATGTGCCAGGGCTAATCTCTTGGCCGTAGGTAAATGAACCTGGGACCCTTGTGTGGAGTGAGGAGTGACCAAGGGGTTTGCTGCTAAGGTGGAGATGGGGTGGAGATGGGATGCAAGAGATGAATGCAAGGGTGAAAAGGAATGATTACAAATTAGACCAGCTGAGGCTGTTTGATTTCTTGTGAACTGTCACTGTCAAAAACTTCATTTGGTGGCACATTGTACAGGCCACTTATGATCTAGGTGTTTTGAAGATTACTTGAAGATTATTTCATTATTGATTACTTAAAGACTGAAAAGTGCTCTAGGAAGCATATCAAATTTGTCTTTTAAAAGAAGGCTGATGTTAGCACTGTGCACTTCTTAATCTATGATCTGGCAGCAGGTTTGCAGAAGACAGTAGAACAGATGCCATGGCAAGTTAATTAATTTTTTTTTCCCACTGATGCTTAAATTGAGTTTAATGAAAGCGCATTGAACAGATGAGAGTTTTTTGCTCCATGAGTAATTAGAGATTATGATTCACAGTCACTTTGCGGTACTAATTTGCAGTCTGCTAAGTCTTGTAAAATAAAGTGTTTTAAGATTTTACTTGTTCTAACAAAGCAGCACATCTTAGTACACACATCAGTATGTATAGATCGCTTTTGCAATTGTCTGGTGGATATTTTGATAGAGTAGCTGAGACTAACAATGGAGCTTCACTATTCTTAGCTGAAGTCTACCCTAAGCTTGATTAGGGGGGTTGATTGGTGGTTTCCAATCACTACTTTTTGTGTCTAGGTTGCTAGAGATCACAGATCACAGATCACAGATTGAAACCATCAGCTCTTTAACACATTTTCCTTTACCTGCTGAGATGTGGAGCTACAGCTGTTGTGTCTTTAATAGACAGTCTTTTCCATTGTTCTAAACCAGACAGTAGCTGAAAAAAAAGATAAAGGTTTAAATGAAGGAATTCATTGATTTAATCTTTTCATTTTCTGATTTACCTTAGAGCAGATTCTTGGCGGGATTAAAACATTGATAAACAGCGGATTTAGATTTTCCAGAAGATTGTAATAGTGAAATGTGCAGCCTGTAGTTTGTGGTCCTCATAGAAATATTATTATTTGCTGTAAATAAAATCTACATCCAATATTTTCGATAAACATTTAATGATATCTGCCAATCAATGTTTTTATTTTTTGTATTTTATGTCTTCTTAACAATTTTGCTTTGTGAGCAGTTTAGCTGGAGATCCTAACGTAGTTATTGTCAGGTGTAACTTGCCCCATGTTGATTTCTTCTTAAAATTTCTCTGTGTAGTTTACCCTGGGTCATCCTCCACCTCACTGGTGCGATAGTGACTTTTTTTAATTTTCCTTTTTCTGAGCAATGGTAGAAAGTAGTCTTACACTAAACTTTGTTTACATGACATTCAGAGCAGTGTACCTGTCACAGGAGTAATTCCTGAAAATGTGTATTATATGTGTATATAACTTTTCATAAATTACAGAAGGGATTATAATGGGCAATACCTTCTAATGTAATGAACACTACTATTCTATAAAGTGTCGTTATTAAATTGTACACCAACAAAATACAGAATGCATAATGTACATTATATTAAAATAATGTGACAGACATGTCAATTGTTGCTGCGTATAAATTGAGGATAAGTTGTGAAAAGGTAAATGGAAAATTTCAAATTTTCCACATCCTCCCCAAATCTTCCCTCACAATAAAAAGTCAAACTAAAGGAAAGGGAGACAGACATAAAAAGTGGCGTAACAAAATACGAATTGTACAAAAATTGATGTGTTTTTAAAAGATTAGGGAATAAGAATTCCGTGCAGGAAGGTTTGCTTAGGCACGATAAAGGGAATAATTACATGGTTTTGAACACAGAGAAAAGAATGAAAATTGCAGTTCAAGTCTATTGTGGAAAAAGAGCTGGAGACTTTCCTTGTGCTGAAGTCGGGATTGGCTTTATGCTTGCTTGCTGACAACAGTCTTTTGTTCTTCTAGGGAGTGGTACGTGAATGGCAACTACCTGGTCATCCTGGTGTCTGTCTGTGTCATCCTGCCTCTGGCTCTCATGAAGCAGCTAGGTGAGTTTCTGGTTTGAACTACCATGATTCAGGAAGCCTTGCTTGTACAGTATGTTGGATTACATGTTCAGGCTTAAAAAGGATGTCTCCATATTTCACCTTTAATCTAACCTCACAGCTGCTTTGGAGTCAGTGTGAACTGTGGCATATGACTAAATAAATACATTCCATGCTGAAAAGAGAAGAAAACACACAAATTCCATTGTAGGTCCCTGCAGTGTTTATAGCCATATACAGAATGTAAAGCTCCACGGCCGAAGTGTTGTGTCTCTTCTCTTCTCTTTTCAGCTTGGAATAAACCTTTACTTGTTCCTTTGAAGCCTACGCATGCTGATGTAGCTACCTACTTCAAATAAATACAGTACATTCTGCTTTTCTCATAATGAAAATATATTTTAGGGGACAATTTGTTATGTTTTGTAGTGTTCACACACAGCAAGCAATTAGGTGATTTTCCACAGGACAGACCTAAAAGACATGACAATTTCTGACATTCAGTATTACAGTTGCAGTTACAGTGTAGAGGAGGCCAAAATGATGGCGCAGTGCTCATCTGTGTGGAGCTTGTATGTTCTCCCCGTGTTTGCATGGATTTCCTCTGGGTGTTTCAGTTTCCTTCCACAGTCCAAGCACATACTGGTAGGTTAATTGGCTTATGGGAATATGGGCCCTAGTGTGAGTGTGTGTGTCTATGTGTCTGTCCTGTGATGGACTGGCGTGTCTTCCAGGGTGTGTCCGACCCTGCGACCCTGTATTGGATTAAACAGTAGGAAAAAGGATGGATATGTAGAGGAGCAAAGGAGTAACGAGGCTGCTAGGAATCTGCAGTGTTGTGCTGTGGTACTTGTGTTTGTAGTTGAGGTAGCCAGTATCGTTGCCTTTCAGATGTACATTCCAGACTTACACACACCACTAAAGGCAATAATGTAAGACGTGCAAGTAAAAATCATCCCTTCCTGAATTTTGATATCTAACAACTTTGCGGTCTTCTTAAATGAGTAGTTTAATTGCCTTAACCGCAATCATTCTTGTCATTCCTGCTTTCTGAACTTGTATTGAAGCATACCATTCTTGAAGATCTGCCCACAGATCTCTGTGGTGTCCTGCATCTTAGGTTCTAGTCAAAGAAATTGAAAATAAATCAGTGGGCTTTAATGGACATGTAGCATTGCTTAAAGTAACACACGGTGCTGTGCTTAGAAAACTAGATTTTTGCTCTAGTGTCATTCTTGGGTATTGTTCCTTTCAAGAAGAACCATGGTTTCTGTGTAGAGTGTAATCTCTACTGAAGGATTACTGGCACAGAGACAGAGTAGGAGTTCTCTTGTGCCTCATTTTAAACATGTTTTGCAGTCAGGAATATTGCCATCCTCCTATGTTTGTCTCAACCTAACACAGGCCTCTAATTAATTGAACATACTCCACTTACCCTCCAGTTTGCTCTGAAGGCAAATTCTGTATTGATATATTTTTTTGTCTCCTACTATACTGAACATTTTCATTAATGAAGCACAATACATGCATAAAAAAACAAATGCCTTATATAAAGTGGGATTCTTTGAGTTAATGGCTACACCCCATGAAAAGTACAGTATGTACTGTATTGCACACTTTCCTGACAAATGAAGTCTCTCTCAAATATACATCATCACCCTTTGATGCAGATGTACCTCTCATTCTGCTTCTGAAGTATAGTTATGCTGCTTTCTTCAAATACCTGTCTTTCTGTGGACAGTATTGTTCAGGATTCCCAATATACCGAAAGTGTCAAACTAACTCTGAAACGAAAAAAACATTTAGATAAAACCTGTAAACGTGAAGCTAAATTAGACCACTTTACCAAGAAATGTTTTGTAGGAGTCTTCTGGGAATCTTGAGCTCCAGTGCATGCTTGAAACATAAAAAAAATCTGTCTTCTTGAGTGTAATGGAGAAAGGGCTAATCATTCTCAGAGAAGCCATCCAAGTTCAGACTATTAATGGTGCATACCATGTGCTCCATTAATTAATCTTGTGTTTCAGGAAGTATTCGTGCATTACTTAAACATCTGGACTAGTCTGTGTGGTTAGTGAAGAAGTGGCGCTCCCATTGTGGAAACTGTGACGTAATCTCTGTATCTTGATTGGACACAGAGACACTTTGAGCCTCAGACTCATGTTTCAGTTTTACTGGTTACATGGTAAATCCAATGTCTTTCAGTTCAACTGACACAAAAACAGTGTAGTGACTGGAAAGGCTGTGATCCTAAATTTGCCTTTATTATCTAGGACTTTCAGAGATTCACTGCCTTTCCACACTTGGAAGGATCCTTGGCAATCCTATTTAAAAATATTATAATAATAATAATAATAAAAAACTTTATTTTATATAGCGCCTTTAAAGGTGGCTTCTCAAAGCGCTTTACAGGATGACAATAACAATAAA